CATTCACATTCCATCTGACTGAGGTCCTGTGGGGCCTGTGGCTGGGGATTGGGGGAGCAATATGGATGGCCAAGGTCTCAGATAGCATAATGAGGGTATCCTGGAGAAACCAGTCCTCCACACCAGCCCATCTGGTGGAGACACAGATTCCAGAGTGAAGTATTTCACCTACAAGCTTTTGTGTGTGTGCTGCTGATGGTTGAAGCCTGGGCCAGGTATATGCTACACACATGTACTACCAACCAACTACACCCTCCAAATAATAAGACAAACACTAAGAGTGATCCATCACCCTCAGATCTGAGGAAATGATATATTATTGATTGTATTTACTCTAGCCTTGGTAAGGTGTTCACTGTCTATCATTATTGGGCTCATGCCCTTCCATTCTCAGTTCAATCCTCCCAGGGTTGTCTAGGAATGAGGGTCCCAGTCCTTAGCTATGACTTTGTGTGGGGAGTTGTGCACACTTTGAATGAATGTGTGAAGCCCTGAGCGTTCGCTGTATGACATGGGTACAGCTACATTAAGGATCAAGACCTCAGAGCCACAGAAAATTGGGAAAGCCTTTCCCTGAGTCAGATCTGGAAAAGCAAAGCCTATCTCTGGCCCAAGTACAAGAGTTTACAAATGATTGACCAGTGTGTGCAAAACCTACCAACTGCAGCTTCCTCCTCCCCAACGTTACTATTCTGAAATGGCTCACAGAGACAGTGGGCATGAGGTTGCGTACCCCACTGGTACTGAAGGCCTAGTGGGTCCCTGGAGAGTCACTGGCACTCTGTCTGTGTTTGAAGGCCTGAAGAAGCTGGTTCCAATATCAGCAAAGGATATCGACAGCAGCGACAGCATAAATTAACTTGGTAGAGAGAGGGAAGGCCAACAAAGCGAACAGTAAATAATCTTCCTTCTCCCCTGTCTTTTTTTTTTAAAAGTCTAGGTTGTTACCAGATTATGCCATCCTCTTTGGGATGGGTCTTCCTGTGTAAATCAAGAGCATCCTCCACAGATGCACCCACAGTCTACAGGCCAACCTGAAGTAGACAATTCCTCTTTGAAGATCTCTGATTGGATGGACACGCCTGAGAGGGCATCCACTTGAAAAGGCTTCCTTGTGTCTAGGTCTCCCTAACAAAGATGGAGGGGGGTAGGGGCAGGCAAGAAGCAGTCTTCTTGGGTACTCCTGAAAGGTGTTCACACACATACACCCCCTCACACACACAGTTTCAGCTTCCCAATTAAAAAAAGGAAGCCACTCAGAGCACAAGGCCTGACTTCTCTTTCAAAGGCCAAGCAGAAAAGTACATTTGTACCGATGCCCACTCAACTAAAATAGAGAACAATGATCAGGTAGACACTACCTTAAATTCTTGTAAAGATCTATTTATGTTTATTGTATATGCATGAGTGGCTTTTTGCTTGCATGTATGTAGGTATACCATATGCTTGCCTAATACCAGAAGAGGCCAGAAGGCAGCATCCAATGCCCTGGAACTGGAGTTCACAGAAGGTCATGAGCTGCCATGCGGGAGCTGGGGCTGGACTCCAGAAATCCCCTCAGTCATCTCTCCTGCCCCTATGTTACAGTTTAGCATGTCACCTTCTGTCACCTTCACACACTATCGCCACACCACCTTGTCTTCAGCAAGAGGCATCGTCTGGGGTTGAAATCATAGGTCATAGTGCCTACTGCCTGGTATGCCAAGGGTCCGGGGTTTCTGCCGTGCCAGCCATCATGGCTACACAAAAAGAGTCACCCTTGTTTAGGACTAGAGTATGATGAGACACATAGTCAGAGAGGTGACATTTTAGAAAGCATTAGCCTGAAAGTACCCCAAGAAGGAAAGTACCCCAAGAGTCAGTACTCTTGGTGTATTTAGCCCAAAGCATCCCCTCCCCATGTGCTAGGCCTAGCTCTGGCAAAGGGAACCACTCCACATGGAGGGCAGAGCTGGTAACACTGTTCACTCAAAGTGGCCAGGGGCTCCTCTTCGAACTCAGCTTCTGCCCATCTGGGAGTCATTCTGTCCTTTGCATATTTGGAGAAAGGAGAATCATCTCCCACTATAGAAGATACTAAAGACTCCAGCCTGGCTGCTGCACACCTACAATCCCAGCACTCAGGACACTGAGGCAGGTGGGGCTTTGTGAGTTCAAGACTAGTCCAGTCTACATAACAAGTTCTAGGACACCCAGTGTCCTGAAGGCTGACTCACCACCACTGTCATTAACTCTCAGTGCTCACCTTCCTGATTTCCCAGCCTGTTGGCTCCTCTCCTTTCCTGATGTGCCCCTGGCTTGCCTTCCTCATCAGCGTAGTTAAGACCCATCACAAGAGACACAGACCTCTATACCAAGTGCACATCCTCACATTAAGTTTGGACATTGCAAAGCATTGAAAGTCTAAGTCTCAGATTGCTTACTCAGAACTGGGTTCAAGGCCAGCCCTTTCTTTTGTGTCGGAGTGGATACAGAGTAATTGTTGAGGTTCTGGTGGAAGATGAGACAGAAGGATGCTGATATTTTATCTGAGCACATCCTGGAGTTTATCACTTCCTTACACTCCTTGTGCCTCTGGCATCTCTCTTCCAGCTTCTTATCATCACTGCGGCCTCTGGCTTCTTATTGTCTTTGTGGCTTCCACCCTTCCAGAGGCTTCTCTATCCCTTGAGCCTTCATTTGTCTTCTTCGCCCGGAATCAGCTACGGCCCTCCTGGGGCAGATCATGCATTTGCTGTTCCAAGTGTGGAGATTTCTAACTTTTCCCCATCAAAACTGCCCAGCCCACTGTAAAACAGGAATAATAGAGGAAATTAGAAAAACAGATAAGCAACTCCTATTTAGTTGCCTGGTGGGCCAAGGACGAGTGTTACTCCCAAAGACCAGAGGAGAAAGACTACTGACCCAAATCATCATGGTCAAATTAAAGCAAGAAATTAATTAAAGCAAGCTTTTATTTTATTCATATACATGGCCTGTCTCCCCCTAAGGCAGATTTGAAGAGATCAGCCTTGGACATGAGGAAGACAAGGCTTTTATAGCTCAGTGGTAGAAGGTTTCCAGATGGAGGGTTTGGTAGGTAAAAATGGGTGGGTGGGTGGGGTTATGGGAACAGAACTTAAACATAACAGGTTAGTCCTTATCACCAAGGTCAGACCAGATTACTGCTAGTCCAACTCTCCCCAGAGCTCTGCTTCTGTCTCAGTATCAGCAGCAAAGGAGGGGCCGTTCACTCGGGATTTTACAGTGAGACAACATGGACCAGTAAACCCAGCCACCGAGCTGTAGTGTATATGGAACAGGAAAGGGCATAAAATCTGCTAAAAAGATGTTAGGATTCGAGGGCAGTTTGGACAGACAACACCAAAGCCGATCCGATCCGGTTCCAAGGGAAGGGGTTTATTTGGGGAAGGGAGTGGGAGAGAGGAACGGGAAGATGGCGAGTGAAGAGAAGACGAAGAGAGCGAGAGGTTGGGGGTGGTCCCAACTATTTAAGTGGGTGATGACGTGTGTAATTTCCCAGGTGTAGGTGAGTCAGGTAGGTGAATTCTGGGAGTGGTTATCCCAGCAACGTAGGAGTCGCAGGCCCCTGAATATGACGTCACCGGGTTCAGACTTATACTAACAAAAGTTAATGAACATTCATGTACTTGCTTTTTGTTTGTGTGCACATCTGTGCATAGAGCATAGAGTTAGAGGTCGACTTTGAGAAGCTGGTTCTCACCTCCCGCCATACACGTCCTGGGGATCGAACTCGGTTGTGGGGCTCGGCAAGCACACGTGAATTAAGACGCCAGTGCTGCTTACCGATAACTAAACACACGGTGCTTTATTTCACGGCCATGATTCTTTGATGACCCAGGATGGAATGTAACAGTTGAAAGCTGTGGGTTTGGGTGTCAAGTTGAAAAGAGTGAACTTGAGAGGACTAATTTTGACCATTAATTTGATTGGATTAAGGAAACACAGGGCATTCGTCAGGGATAATGGGTGTGTTTATAGGGAAGTTTCCAGAGAGGACCCCTCTGGGTGTGCGTGACACTATTCTACGGGCTGGGTCCCACTAAAACGAGGTGGTTGGGGTTGGGGGCAAAAGTCAGCACTCACCTCACACTGCTTGTGCTGTTTAACCAGCCTGTCTCACACTCCTGCCTCCATGCCTTCCTCTCCATGGCTGACGAGCTCTTCAAACTGTGAGCCGAAATAAACCTTGTCCCTTCGGCTACCTCTCGTCAAACACTTGGTCAACAGGAAACGTAACTAGCACTGTGATGAATGGATGTGCTCATTCACTCAGGTGCGCTAAGGCGTGCACAGCACAGATGTCCGTCATGGTCATGTTGCACAGCTTATGTACACGTGGTTTTACTTGACCGTTAGACCCCGCTAACCCTGTAATGACATGTTAAGGGATGGGTGAGAGTAAAAGCTTGCACAGCCCCTAATATGTAGTAGACCCAGCTTCCCTGGCTGCACATACAGTCCTGTCCACACTATTCATATATATTTCCATTCCATCGGGTATGGCAAGTAACATAGGGGTAACCTGGAGTACCTGAGTCAATTTTTCATGTAATTGGTCATTTTTGCTCTTTCTGAGTTCTTTATATACTCTGGGTATTAATCCTCTGTCAGATGAATAGCTTGTAGACGTCTCCCCATTCTATCTTTAAAATGGGAGTGGGCAGGAAAACATGCCCAGAGACCTTCTACTACCACACGGCACAGGGGGGCTGTAAATACACAGAGGCCATGCCCCACAGCATGAGCAGAGGAGGTCACCCAGAGTCCCACCAGCCAGCCATATGGCCAGCCTGCAGCAGGAGGCACTACAATGTGCAAGTTGTGTGGTGGACAGATGTATGTGTGAGAGAGAAGCAGAACAGTTTGAGCTGTATGAAGAGAGATGGAAATGGAGGCACGAGGGTAGAGAGGAATAGTCTGTGGTGAGTAGCCAGTCCTACCACATCAGACCATAGTGAAGTCCCAGCCTGTGCTACCACTGAGGCCTGTGTCTGGGTCTGTGGCCATGCAGCAGCAGGCATTGGTGTCCATGTCCATGGATCATATTACCACTAGAGACCCTGTGAACATCCCTGGTCTGGGCAGCCACCTAGGGCCATGGAAATGTCCAAGGGCTGGGCAGAACTGGCCCTGTCCTCCCCACCCCACCCCCAAGCTGGAGAACTAGAGAGAGTGGACAGACGCTGTACCTCATCTGGGCAACACTGTGGAGCTGGCCCTGATGATGAAGGCAAAGGTGAGCCAACCACCAGGGTGTGGGAGCAGGAGAGCTGCCTCAGCCCCTTACAGTTTCAGCACTTGAGAGAGTGGGCCCCATGCCTCAGTTGGGCAGCTCAGTAAAGCTGGCTCTGGTGGTGTGAGCGCAGGTGAGCCAGCCCGGAGGGCATGAGATCAGAAGCGCTGACCCTGCTCCCTCCTTGGATGAAGTAGCAGAGCCAGGGCTGCAGAGCTCCCCCTAGTGGTGGGGATTCAGGCGGGCTGATTAGTTCAGCTACCACACAGGCCCAGATCCAGGGCTTTTGAGTTGGCACACCCCAAAATCTACACCATCTGTGAACTGTGAGAGCACACGAAAGGGCTAGTGTGATCTAAATCTGCAGGATCTCCATGACACAGGGCAACAACAGGATAGCCAGGAGGAGTCCCACTGAAGATTCAATATTGATGGTGTGGTAGAAGCCAGAGAGGCCTAGAACCAGACCAGGCCATGAGCATTTCCAAGTGACAATGTGTGGACAGAGGGGTATACTGTGGGACACTCTGTGACACACCTCAGCTTTCATGATGATATTTTCTATGCTTTATTTTGTTTTGTTTGTTTTTGGCTTGTTTTTTTATTTTATTTTGAGGGGTTGCAAAGGCGTGTAAGGCAAGTGGGCAGTGCCACCAGACAGAAATAGGAACCGGTGTGGCTGAGTGAGCTCAAACCCCGGGAATCTCAAAGATTTGAGAACGGCTGGAGAGGAGCCACTGCCTACCTTTCTTTGTACCTGCTCTGAGTCAAGGTAGCATACCACCTGGAGTTGTTCTCCATGCAAATGAGGAGTCTAAATAGTCTTAGCCTTCAGCCAAAGACCTTCCCTTCCTGGATATTTCCATGCCCTTCCTCCAAATATATAATATTTAATCCCTGTTTCACCCAGAGTAAAGTGTAAAAAAAGCAATTTGAACAATCAAGGATAGTCTCAGAGAGCTGCTTCATTAAAGATCTCCATGGGGAAGGCTTTCACTTAAAAAAGCCTGGCCTAAGACTCCCAAAGAAGGCTTTCTCTTCTGCCACTCTGGCAGTACTCCACATTCACTCCCAGTCAGACTTGACCCTGCTCATTGGGGCCCCACTTCCTTCTTCTTGCTAGGCTTGCAGATGCCCTGAAGGGAACGTAGATCTCGGACCCCGTTCCTGACTTCCTCTCCACGTGATACACCAGCAGCACCTGGGTACATACCCAGAGAGGAGACTGGGAACCGTAGTATTTGTCCAAAATCACACTGTTTCCCTTCCGGTCCCGCATGTAGTGGAATCTAATAGCCCGGAGGGAAACACAGACTGTGGACTCTCCATTCCGGACTTTGCCCTGCCTTCTCTGGGTGGCACCAGGGCACCCCCAGAAGAGACACAGGACATGGGGAAGGTCCGGTATGAATGGATCCGGAGACAAGTGGGACTAGGGTGGATGATGTGAAACTCACAAAGAATCAATAAAAAGTTAAAAAATAGAAATGGAGATCATTGAGGAAAAATAAAAACTGAGAGAGAACAGGAAACAGAACTCTCACATCCTCTTCTGAGGATATAAATTACTGCGGCCACCACGGAAACACATATGAAAGTTCTCCAAGAAATTAAAAATAGATAAAACTGCCACACTATAGCTATCAGCCCTGGGCATGCACGGAAAGGAAGCAAAGACAGAAGGTGTTACTGCTACCTGCATATCAGTGATTTACTGCTACCTGGATGTCAGCACTACAAACAGTAACCACGTCATGAGGACAGCCTGGGTGCCCTCCAGTGTATGAATGGTTGAAGAAACTGTGGAACAGTCAGGTGTGGTAACTACTGCTGGTAACTGCAACACTCAGGAGACTGAGGCAGAAGGATTGCCACAAGTTCAAGGCAGTTGGATTACATAGTGAGTTCCAGGGTAGCCTGGGCCATGGGTAAGACTTTGCATCAGAAACCAAATGTAAGAAAGTGGGGAGGAGGAAAAATGTGAAATCTACAGACAATGAAGTGTTATTCAATCGTAAGGAATCATTTCATTGGAAGGGAAATGGGTGGTAGGGGTTACCTTGTTAAGAGAAATAAGCCAGATTCAGAAAAACGAATATCATGTTTTCTCTCATATGTGGAGTCTAAAGAAGAAAATTAAAATGACACAGATATTAGCAGGGGATTATTGGGGAAGAAGACGGGGGCTGGGAGAAAGAATGTAAGAAAGTCATGGGAGTGAAGAAAATACGATCGACACTGAATTCCAGACGAAGCATCTCAATGAAACCTACTGTCTCGCACAATCAATATATAACCTAATAACAAGAAATAAAGCACCAGAGGGGCTGCGCACAGGTTACATACAAACAGCATGATACCATATGTGGGATAATTGGGGGTACACATACTTTGGCATTTCTGTGGATCGCAGAACCCTACCACAAGGAATGACTCTACTTACATCATGTCTAGCTTTACCTATAAATCCGAGGATAGTGTAAATGCCGTGTATAGAGTTCTCAAATGCATCATTAAGAAACCATTAGAAAGATGGTCTGCACCAGTAATGATCATTTTTCTCTGAATATTTTGGCCATGCAGTTGGTTAGCTCCATCCACAGTTGCAGAACTCCTGGATAAGGAGAACTAGATGCATCCCAGAGCCACAGGCCTTCTTCTGACATTTCACTACATATACAAAGAGGCAAACACTGAAGCCAGCCAAAGCTGCTTTAATGAAGCTCGGGAAACTGCCAGGGTCAGACTTTAGCAAGGTCCACCTTCATTTCTGTGGCCTTGGGATTTGGAGTGCTAATTCAAATTCCGTGACCACTGGGGCATGTTCTTGGGCTTTACACAGCACATTTTGCCGTTCCAGCAGAAGATGTAGAAACTTTCTTTATTGATGCACTCTTCACGACAGATACCAAAAGACTTCCAGCATCTTTCAGGATTCCCTATGTCAGAATAAAGACAGAGAGACCTGCATGAGTCGTGAGGTCCCAGGTGGAGGCCAGGGCCCCAAGCAATAAAAACAGAGGCAGGGAAGGAGTGGTCACCTCTAGAGGTTAAGGAGGTGTGTATCACCTCACATCCTCTACGGACACTCCGTCCCAGCCCTTCACAAACTCTACCTCTTGCAAGTGCAGTAGGTTACAAGGCTTAACAAGCACAGTGGGATGTGAGGTTAATATGAACCATCAGAATCTATAGAACTGGGATTGAAGTTTATCTGTGTCCCAAGGCAGCTAGTAAACCTTGAGTGGGTGACTCTCTCTTTAAGAATCTGTTTCCTCTTTTCTACGAGGAGAGGTAGATGTCTCACAGAGCTATGATAAGAAATAGCATTGGAAATATAGCTCGGTTGGTGTTTGCCTCGCATGCTTGAAGCCCTGGCTTCCAGCCCTACCATAGCATTGACTGGGCATGGTGACCCATATGTGTAGCCTCAACACTTGAGAGTTAGGGACAGGAGAATCAGGAGCTCAAGGGCATCTTCAGCAACACACGGTGAGTTCGAGACCCTGTCTCAAGAGAAATAAAAAGTAAAATATAATAAAAACTAATATTAATTAGTTTGTGTAAAAAAAAAACACTAGCATTAAATAAATCCAGCAATTAAGTGACAGAACCTCAGCAAGAATGAGCAGTTTAAAAGTTATTTTACAAGGAAAGAAACTGAACTAGAAGGAACACATTAGCAAATGAGGAAGCCCAACGGCTTAAGAGAAGTTCAAAGTGGAAAGGACTTTTAAATAAAGAATGGAAGACCCACAACTGATAAAAATGCAAAAAATTAACGACTGTAAGGAGCCTGAGCCAATTACTGTATCTCCAATACAATCCATCCACTCAGGGAACAGCACAGAAGAGGTGTGGGAAGACAGCAGGTGGCAGAGGACCAGGACAGCAGCTGCTAAACAGTGTCTTCTAGACTTGCCTGGGATGCTATGCCCATGAAACGCTAACAATATGACCACAGAAGTAAGACCTACGTAACCACACCAGCTGATACACCAGTGTGGATGGGGAAGTCTCACAAGGCCCCAGCACCTAGATGAAGAGCTACAGGCAAGCCATCAATGGCTGCCAAGAAGAGAAGAATCAGTCTTCTCCAGGGATAATCTCCTCAATAAGTTATCCCAAGTAGACAGCCCTAAACACACATACATCCAAGAGGCACTGCATGAATGAACTCCGTGGACACACACATACATCCACCATGCACACATCCACGCACTCATGCTCATCGGAGGTTGGGGTTATACTAGAACTTATTGACAATAATGCTTTATGCCAGGGTAAAGGTTGGCATCCTGTATTTATGCTACTCGTGTCTTCCAAGGACAGAGGACAACAAGGAATTGTTAACATATGAAACTGGACAAATACTGCCTCCACATGTCTTCCCTAAGGACTCTAACAGGGAAAGAGCTTCAGACTTGCAAATTAGACACAGAATTAACTGTTACACAAGCAGTGCCTCATAGAACTCTAAGTAAATGACAACTTAAAGTCAGGCCACCAGAGCTCAGAGACAGAGTGCCTGCCCAGCATGAACCACAAAAATACAGAAGCAAAGTGAGTACATGAAAGACTCCATGGTTCTATGTTCCTGACAAAAGAGCCATGCAGCACAATACAAACACAGGTGTACATGGAGAACACATGCAGACATTTGCAATGGCTTGAAAACATGTGACAGTAGAAGTATCTGTGGTGACAGACAGTGAGATGAGGAAGGAGGGTCTAGGCCATCATTCCTAACAGGCCAGGGATGTGACTCAGAGGCAGAGTGCTTCCCTAACATCCAAGCGCTGGGTTCAATCCCCAGACCTACAAAAAGAAAAGAAATAAAGGAATATAGAGGTAAATGGTAAATTTGAATCAGTAGTACCAGTTCATGGGTGCTTATTTTTAAAAGGACTGTTTCCTCATCTCTGGTTATCGCAAAGCTTAGAAACATTGACACGTCAGTAGGAATTAGAAATTAGAATTGTAGAAACCATTTCTGGTCAAGAATTCCAAAACTCCTTTAATCCAAGCCCTTGGGAGGCAGAGACAAGCGGATTTCTGAGTTCAAGGCTATCCTGGTCTACAGAGTGAGTTCCAGGACAGCCAGAACTACACAGAGAAACCCTGTCTCGAAAAACCAAAAAAAAAACAAAACAAAACAAAAGCAAAAAACAAACAAACAAGAAAAAAAAACAAGCCTGAAGCATTCCATCACACCAGAGACTGAGGGCGACATCAAAGACAAGAAGAGCTTTATCAGAAAGACCAACTCCTCAGATCAAAGACTTTCCCACTGCCAAACACGAGGAGCCTCACTGCACGAAGGATGATGGTAGCAGTATACTTCAACATGTGGCATAGAACTATTAGTCTGATCTCTGTGAGTTCAAGGCCAGCCTGGTCTACAAAGCCAGGGCTGTTACACAGAGAAACTCTCTCTCTAAAAACCAAAAATCAAAACAAAACATTAACAACACTACCACCACCACAAAAAAAATTGAAAACATTAGTCTGAAATCATATTTAACCGAGTAACGATGTATCCTCTCTCCTAAATCCAGCTGTTATTGTTAGAAGAAGAGTGGAGAGGAATAAAGCCAGAAACCTTGGAGGCCTAACCATTTCTCCAAGCCAGAATTGTATCACAAGTCCTAAGAGACCAATGCAACTGGCCTCCCAGTTCTACGCAGAATTCTATTGCAGTCCCTGAGCCTCCAATTCACAACTGTCCTACCAGCAGGATGGAAGTCCTTGGAAGGCTCTGGTGAATTACAGAAAACAAAGAAGCTGCAGAACACCAAAATTTCAGCCTGTCCAGCCTTGACCTTTCAACCTAACTTGCTACATAAAAATTAGAAATTAGGAAATTGAAACGCAGAGACATGAACTGCCTTGCAGTTTCTCACCCGAGATCTGAGGCTCTTCCCACTGCCCAGACAGTGTCTCCTACCCATCCGCCATTCACCGAGTCCCTGAGTACCCTGGGCAGACCCTTCTCTGTCCCTTCTCAGAAGGTGTCTAGGTTACCTGGAATGACCTGGGTCAGCAGCAGCAGCAGAACCATAGTTAACACCACAGTCTTCATGGCTTCAGGAAATCCAGGGTGCAGGCTTGTGTCTGTCAAAGCACAAAACAAAGAACAAGAGTTCTTGATCCCTGCTCCTTGTAATCAGCCGGGACACGTGTCCTCCAGGGCCCACGGGTACAGTCTGTCTCCCCATCCCTAGGCCTCCACACCCACAGCACTGACCACACACTCCTAGGCTGACACTGCCTTATTCACTCAAAGACCAGCAAGACTAAATCCTACAACGGTCAGAGATTTTATTACTATAAGCATATGTCAGTCTATCTTATAGTCCAGCCCAGAATCCTCTACTCTGGAGGTAAAGGAACCCGTAACTGAGACGCTGTTCACAGGTGATGGCTGCAGAGGGAGACAGAGTCAGGTTTCTTTAAGAGTGTGGCCCCTTGCTCCAACAAAGAGCCCCACATCTGTGGGTCTATGGGCAGCAAAAATAGGACTAGTTGAGATAGTTTTAAAGGATTGGGCTCACTGGTTAAAAGCACTGGCTGCTCTTCCAGAGGAAGCCACTTGGGTTCCCAGCATGCACGTGAGAACTCACAACTGTCAGGAATTCCAGGTCCAGAGGATCCAACATCTTCCTTTGGCCTCTGGGGGCACTGTGTGCATGTGGCACACAGACTCCAAACACACACACACACACACACACACACACACACGTGCGCACACACATACCCAAACACTAACAAAATATTTTTTTAACAGAGAAGGACATGAAGTTTAGAGGGAGGTGGGGGATGGATCTGCAAGAAGCTAGCAGAAGGAGTAGGGGGGTGGGTGTGAGTAAAATAAATTTTATGCATGCACACAAGTTTCAAAGAATTAGTTAAAACATTATTTTAAAATGTTAATACATTTAAAAATCCTCAACACTCCACACTCCTTACAACGTCCTACATTGATAGCTCATCCAATAAAGCACTTGTCACACAAGTCCTTTATGGATGTCCCACGTATGATCACCAGAATCTATACAAAAGAAGCAGAAGCGGTGTGAGGTGCTGCACACCTTTAATCCCAGCACTCCAGAGACAGAGGCAGGTGGATCTCTGTGAGTCTGCGGACAGCCTGCTCTACATAGGGAGCTTCAGGACAGCCAAGACTACATAGTGACACAGCTCTCTCAAAATATAAAATGAAATAGGCAAACGTGGTGATACACACTTAGGATCCCTGTGCTGGAAAGAGTGGGGACAGGCACTCAGAAGCCCTGGTGCCCACTGCCAGCCATCCTAACCTGATCAGCTTGCCCCAAGCCAATGACAAACCCTGTCTCAAAACACAAGGTGATGGCTCTTGGGAAATGACACCCAAGGTAGATCTCTGACCTACACACACACACACACACACACACACACATATATCCAAACACAGCTGTCATGATTCTAGCATAGCTTAATGAGCTACTTTTTTAAAAAAATATTTTTTTAAGGAAATGTTAGCTGGGCATGGTGGCACAGGCCTCTAATTCTCAATCTTGAGAGGCAGAGACAGGTGGATCTATACAGCAAGTTCCAAGACAGCCAGCACTGCATAGAGAGACCTTGTCTCAAAGAAACAAATGAAAAAGAATTGTATTGTTGCCTATATGTGTGTGTATCCCTGTGCATAGGTATGTGCACATAAATTCAGTTGCCCTTGGAGATGTTAGAACCCCTGGGGCCGGAGTTACAAGCAGTTGTGAGGCACCAAGTGGGTGCTGGGCACTGACCTTGGGACCTCTGGAAGAGCAGTAGACACTCTCAACCACTGAGCCATCTCTCCAGCCCAGAGAAGTTCCTCTCTTCAGATCACTTTTCCAGTTCAGGAGCTACAGAAGAGAGGATCCTGCCCACACAGTGTGTGTCTATCAGGATATTCTCTATCAAGGAGAAGAGCTCCCACTGCCTGGAATGTTCAGTTTTAGGAAGAATTTTGGCATTGAAGCCAAGAAAGGTAGAGTTGAAATTATCCAGCTCACTGTCCCAGCTGTGCCACCAAATTCTGTGACCTCAGAATGAACCCAAATCCCTCTCTAGGATTCAGTCTCACCAGGGAGCTCTAAAACACTCGGGGACTCTAAAACTCAACTCAACTTCTCTGGTTTCCTGGTCACTCAAAATACACAGAAAATGAAAGTCTACCGAAGTCTATGGTTTTGCCACCAATGTGGGCCAAACTAATTGAGCCTACTCCAAGAGTCCCAGGGCTCCTTACATCAGCTGCCTCAAGGAGGCTACCATGGAGATCCAGGCTAAGGTTCTCAGAACGGTACCCCAACCTGGGCATCTTTCTGAGCAAACTACAGACTATCCTCTATTACCACTGCTGATTGGCGGCCTTGGCTTCTTCCCAGAGTTGACTTCACAAAATGTTAATGCTGTCCCCACTCAGCCTTAGAACTTCCTGTTACGAGGTGTGTGTGTGTGTGTGTGTGTGTGTGTGTGTGTGTGTGTGTGTGTGTGGCTAATCTTGGTTTGCAACTTGGCACACTTGGGAAGATGGAACCTCAGTTAAGGAATTGCCTCCCTTAGACTGGCCTGTGGGCCTGTCTACAGGTCATTGTCTTGATTGTTAATTGACACAGAATAGCCCAGCCCACTGTGCACAGTATCATCTTCAGGCTATATAAGTAAGTTAGCTAAGGAGGGGGGAAGGAGACAGACAGAGAGACAGAGACAGAGAGACAGAGAGAGACAGACATACGGTTGCTTTTAGTTGTGGTTTTTCTCATTGCAAGAGAATAGCTAACTAGGTAGGACAAGGTGATCTTGAGTTCTCTCTGCTCTAGACCCCAGAAGCAGTCATAACTCTTGTGCTCCCCCCAAAGAAAAGAATTCAGACAAGACACTGCAGCAGAGAAAGCAAAAGAGCGGTTTCATGTTTCTCTCTGTGCGTCCTCCAGGGTGGGAATGTCCAGGAAAAGGGTGTGTGCTTCTTGGCATCCCGTTTTATCCAGAAGTCAGTCTGTCTGTTGTAAGTAAACATAAATGACTCAAGAATATAAACAAGGGTTTAAGTGGCCCCTAAAATCACAAAGTTCACGAGAGGAAAGGGTAAGTACAGTCTGGGCACGCTCTGCTGGTGAGGCAGTCCCTGACACTGGTTTGAGCCGAGCCAGACAAAATCCACCACTCCCAATTGTTCTTCACATCTGGTCCATCCAGAGAGACCACCTTCACCTGTGTTTACATTCTGTAGTGCTGACCAGCTCTACCTGTCTTTTTTTTAGTCCAACTGAAGTAACTGGGGTGGGAGTGGGGTACTGTTAGTCTCCTCTGACACTAATCCCCTGCCTCACCAGCATTCTCCCACCTAGGATCTAGATCCTTGAAATAATTAGGAATAAGTTGTAAGATTCTGGTCTCTTCTGCTCAGATATTTTTAAGTTCCTTTACAAGGTTTTTCCTTGTCTTTCAAAAGCCTAAGCATTACAGAATGTTCTGTTCCAGCAAGCTCCGAGCAATAACAGCTTCCAGTGACCTTGGACAGTCCACTATCTCATGAGAAAGAACAGGAGGACAGTGTGGAACTAAACATCTTTATACATTAATCTTGAGATTGTGGCTTGGGAAACAAACGGCATTGGCTTCCCTGAAGAACTGGGAGAGACAGTAAGTGGTTACATTCTCCTGTGGGACTCCAGTGGTGCAGGCTGGACAAGAGAAACACTGTTGAGTCCGGGGGTGGCAGGCTGAGCTCAGAGCCCTTGGCCTGTTTATACACTGTGCATGGATTTGTCTAGAGCATCAGGAGTGGGGATACATTAGAAACAGGAAATAACTCTTTCTCAAGGGATCATCCCTTCAGCCAGAAACAAGGCACAATTACAAGAGAGAACACTTGGCTTTCATGGGCCACCTTCTGATGTTTTTAAATTTTAAGTTGACTGGTAGCCTTTACTTCTCAATAAAACCACGTTGCACTTAATTTTACTTCCTGTGGATTTTGAATTAGTTAAGCACGTGGTTTTAAAAAAATTTTTAAACCCCATTTTTTTATGTTTATGGATGTTTTGCTGGAATGTATGTCTGTGTACCACATGCATGAAGTGCCTCAGGTGGGCTGAAAGTCCAGGAAAGGGGTGTGTTCTTCTGAGAAGCCCACTTTAGCCAGGAGTCAGTCTGCTATAGATAAATCTATAAGATGCAAGAATATATACAAGAGATTAAGCGACCTCTAAAGTTGCAAAGTTCATTAGGAGAAGGAGTAACTGTACCTTGGGCATGCCCCCCATCATGGGGCAGTCCTGCAGCTGACTTGAGCTGAACCACAGTCCACTACCATTGATTGCACTTAGGGCTTGGGGGCTGAGGGTTGAGCTGACCCAGCTAGAGAGACCGCCACCTATAGGACTTTATATCCTGAGGGTTTGGGGGGGCGTGAGGCTGTTTGCCCCATGCCCACTCTCCAGCACTAACCTTCTGCTTAACACTGGGTTGTTCAGAGCTTGCAAGGGGCTAGCTTTACAATATCACACATTGTTAGCACTCAATGGCTGGTATGCCTATATTTATTCAAGATTTTATGATGCAACAGAAATGCTCTTTTCTAGACACTTGTTTGACAGAAGTTGAAGGTGACAGTCACTGGGATAGGACAGCCACTACATATCCTTTTGTTTTGTTTTGTTTTGTTTTGTTTTCTTCATAGGTGAGTTTGGTGTTCATAAGCACGCACATGAACGCGCAGGAGTTTGCTTCCTCAATGGCTTGTAGAATTGTTTTACCAGGAAGGAAGGAAGAAAGAACAAGATCATGGCCATCCCCATTGTTCAGTCATCACTAGCAGCCAAAGGCACCATGTTATCTAGAAATCACATCCCTGTGATAAAACACTGGAGAGAATCAGCTTGAAGAGAGACCAAAGCTTCAGAGGTCTCCATCAGTTGTTTCTGGGTCATGATGAGACAGAGCGTCATGGCAAGGGACAATAGCAAAGCAGCTCACGCCATGGTGGCCAGGACACAGAGAAAGAGAGCCCTATGCAAACTGGCTTTTCCCTTTTGGTTCTGGCCTATGGGCCGGTGCTACCCA